AATGCCATTCAGTGTTGGAAACTGTAACAGATGAAATGCTACAAGATGTAAAATACACAAAGGTTGTAATGGTAGCTAAAATGTTCAGTATGAACCAACAGCCATTTTAAAAAATGTATTTATTATGACATCTTACAAGCTAAACTGAAAATATTTATAGATCTGCCATACTTAGCAGGATTTCTCATGTTAATCACAGGAATGTAAAAGACTTATGGAAAAGAGGTGAGTCAAAATATGGCGCAAAATTTATGTCCTTGTGTATGTAAAGACTTATGCTTTTAACTTAGACATATATTCTGGAATTTAGCTTTTATTTTTTTATTTTCATTTTTATTTATTTTTATTTTTTTGGCAGAACGAGGGATTGAACTCAGGCCCTTGGGCTTGCCTGCCAAGTGGTTATTCTACTGAGCCATATCTCCAGCCCATTAACCTTTATTTGTATAGTAATAGTTGAATGATTTTTTTGAACAGACTTGTTTCCTCCATGTCTCAAATGAATTGGAATATGACGTTTGAGAAGTGGCTTACTGGTTTCCACTTAATGCTACATTTGCTAACAGAGCAAACATTGACCAGTACAGGTACCTGTATGCAGGAACAAAGAAGAAATTCCAAATTAAATGTTGAATTTGAAAACAGAATAGTATAGTACAGTCTTTGGATTTTAGAAAGATATAATATTGGCTTTGTATATGGTAAAGAAAAACAAACTGGTATAACTGATTTCAGTATTTCACCATAATAGAAATACTCGCAAGGAATGTGACAAAAGAAAAGGTTGAGAAGGAAACTTTCTACAACAAAACTAAAGGTAGAGTAGATGTTGTTGATGAGTTGTGCAGCAGTTGTAATGTCACTTGAAACACAAAACATTGGTCTATAGTTGTGTTTTACTCAATCCTAAAGCTGTGGCATGAATATTTTGATAGTTTACAAAGAAAATAACAAGTGCAAAATATCACAGAGAAATTTTCTTAGATGATTGAGACTGAAGCTCATGCGAGATCATTTATAGCAGAGGGAAAACAATATGTTTCTGCCCAGGCAGCTACACACAAAAAATTATGGAGCACAACGATGAGCTGACAGATGAATAAGCTGGCACAGCATCACAAAGATGTACTACAACAATAGGAAAACAACAACAAAAAACTGTGCCCTACAAAAAAGGACAGGAAAACAAAACATACATTCTGTCAGTGTAATACCTATGTATATAATATACAGTTGTCATATGTGGAAACTGCCTTGGATATGACAGTTAAAACAAAGATTTTTTTTTCTTTTTTCCAGCTGAAAAATCGTTTTTTACAAATTCACAGTGTCTGAACTTTGTAGAAAACAGGGTGGGGTAGGGTGGCTTCCAGCTCAGGAGGTGTCCATGGTTTCCCCTTTGAGCTCGTTGAACAGGAATGCATCCTGGTACTCCTTCATATACTGTGTGGATGGAGACTTATCCAGGAAGAGTGAGTGGACTCGCTTGATGTCATCTACCTGTACCTCTGCACCTTCGAGTTTCTGGCACATTAGGCTGGCTGCCATGATGAGCTGGATGGTGAGTGTAGTCATGTCTCCAGCCCCATGCAGATGAGAACAGTGTAGGGATCCCCACTCATCTTCACTTCCTCGTCTTTACACCGAATGTGCAGGATCTGCTCGATGTCCTCCTTGCTGTAGGGCAAGGTAGAGGTGATGAGTAGATGGTCCAGCAGGTCGATGGAGATGCCATGGGGGTTCTGGTAGCTGGTGCCCCAGATTGATGTGATGCCCCGGTTGGTAGCCATGATAAGGACAGGTGACATGTGACTTTTCAGGGCCTGGTTGAGGAAAGAGAAGCTCTCAATGTCTAGCATGTGGACCATGTTGATGAAAAGCACCCCCAGAATGATTTCTGCCTTGCTCTCCTCATGCCACTCTGCTACCCTGGCATTGATCTCTCAAACTTCTGACTTAATCTACCCTGTGTCACCTGAGAATAGTACCAGTAAGCCCTAGGTGGGGGAGTTAATGATGTCAGTCTCATGCAGAGATCTGGTGTGCACCATCTCCTTGCGCTTTGTTAGGTCCTCATCTGGGCGATGCACAAACTTGGTTTGGGAGCCCATGGCCTCATAGTCACAGGCCCATGTGAAGGACCTGCCCAGCTTGGAGATCTTGCCCTTGCCCTTGTTGCTGGTGACCATGTCCCCAATGTGGAACTTGTCCTTGGTTAGCGACTCAATCATCTTGGTATCCAGGTCATAGATAGTCTCTGTCTCTGTAGTCTTGAGAGTCAGTTTGCCCACCTTGGAGCCTGTCCCTGTCGCTGGCTGATCCATCCTTATTTCCACCACCTCCCCTTCTATGATCTTGGTTCCTTCTTGATGTGGACTTCGATGTGGACTTTGGAAGGCCTGTGTGATGCTTCGGTCTTGCTCATTTCCAGGGAGAGTAGCTTGCTGCTGGCAATAGCAGTGAATGGGCTGTCTGGGCCCAGGGCCTGCGCCCTGCCCACCGTGATAGCAGTCTTCCCGTTACCCAGCTGGCTGGCAATGAGGACTTCCCGTCCAGCAATCTTGAGCACCATGCCAGCTGCTCGCAGGGCCACCAGCTGACCCTCCATTCCCTGTGAAGGCTGGCAAGGCTCCAAGGCATTGTCCAGCCCAAGTCTCCATATGTGGGAGTGTGCACCAATGCACTCAATTCCCGTCACATTGTGGATCTCTGGAACTTTGGTTGTGGTGGCCACAGTTACCATGATGCTTACCAACTGGTGGATATCTTAGTGGAAGCAAAGATTTGTGTGGTAGACTTTTTGGGGGCTTACATTGTAGTTCACATATATTTTTATTTTTGATGTTATATTTTAGGATTTGTAAGCAAGAGCAGATGTGAAAATATTGATGTCTATTCTGAATATATAATACATATTAAGAATTCAATAATTTACATTATTTATTGTTCCTTTAACATATATACTGTATAATATAAGAATCTCCTGACAAAATAGTAAGACCAGTGAGATGTCACTCAGGCCCTACAAAAATGGCAGGAAAGCAAAACACATGTGTTGTCAGTGTAAGTAATTTACGTGTATGGAATATGTATTGTTATGTGTGCAGACTGCCTTAGATGTGATAACTGAAGTAAAGACTTTTTGTAAAGTACTATTGGCATTTCGTTGTAGTTCACATAAGAATTTTTTGTGCTATTTTTTTTAGGCTTTGTACACCAAAAAATAGTCAATGTAGGAAAGTTTGATGCTTTTTATACCCTCAAAAATATTAAAAGTTTAATGCTTTTTTGGTGATCTTTTCCTGTTAAGTACTTATTCTTTAGTATCATAAAACTCATAAAATTAATAATTCATGGATAGAAATATTCTGAAGGGTAAATGTTGGTCTGACAGTCCCATGTTTCTGTGCCTTCCTGGCAAAATTAGTGTCATGCTTCTTTAACTTTTTATTTTAAGGAGGCTCTCTCTAATTGCTAAATTGCCCACTCTAGGTTTGAACCTCTGATCCTCCTGCCTCAGCCTCCCAGAGTGCTGGAATTGCAGGCAAACAAAAACATGCTTATCTGTTGAGGTGCTCTCTAAATAAGTATGATTGCTGTTTTCTACTGCAGAATTCCGTCTTGACCTTTCCTTTATGAGCTGCTGGCCTGTGTCAGTTTCCTTGTCCTTTAAGTTTCCTGCACAGTATTGCTTATTGTTGAGCATCCAGTTAGGGAATGAATGCTATGTGGCATCAATGTCAAGAATGCTTTTTTTTTTTTAGTATAAAATAAAGTTTTCTAGAATTGGCTGTGCCATGAGACACCCATTTTAGTTAGTATGTATGTTCTGAGGTAAAAAGGGCTAGCAATAAAGAGTTTCTAAGAGTTTATTAAAATATTTTTCCTATATGCATGCAGCTATAATAAAGGAATGATGATCCCTTTAACCTGTAGGTACCAGAGAATGGTATTGAGATTTTGGACAGTCTTTTACTTGTGATCACAATAATCACTGGCCTCATGAATAAAGTCCTTTAAAAGCAGGTTTTCAGGCTTGTCCATGTGTAGGAGCATCTAAGGACCTTGCTCAGATGCAGATTCTGACCCTGGGTGGCTTTACAGACTCAGACTTTTCCACTTCCTTGATAAGGCTAATGTTGATGTCAGTCCTTGGACTACACTTTGCGTAACAAGGTTTTGAAATATTTTCTAGAAAACTGAGGTGGAATTTCTGTGAAATTTCCAGTTGTATTTTAAAATTTCCAGAGTGACAGATTTTCTGAGAGAAAACTTATAAATAACTCAGTTTAACTTGGAAATTTGCAACAATTTCCTACACTTTAACATATTACATCTAGGCTGGGGAGATAGCTTGTCGGTCTAAGTGCCTGCCTGGCAAGTGCAGGGACCTGGGTTTGATCCCTAGTACTGGATGCTATTCCTGTCCAGAACACTGGGCATGGTGGCACACACATATAATCCCAGTGCTTGGGAGGATGGGACAAGAGGATCACTACAAGTCTGAGCTGCATAGCAGACCCTGTATTAAATAAATAAATAAATAAATAAATAAATAATATTAAAAAATAGTACATCTGATACTGGTCAGCATCCCCCCCAGGTGTGTTTGAATGATACTGTGCATAACACTGCCCTAATTAATTTACAGTTTTATTCCTTTAACCTTTCTTAGATTAGGGAGGCCCTGACCCCAGTACTAATCCAACTGTAGCTACTCTAGCAACAAGGACTGATTTTAAAGCAGAAATATTCTGTAGAAGATTGACAGTTCAGAGGCTGTGTTTATGATGAGACCTTCACATTTATTGATTGTTACCCAGGCTAGTGTTGCACGGAGACCTTCTGCAAGGGCATTAGTTGGAATGGCTGGAAATAGAAAGGGCAGTGTTCAGCTCAAACTCTGCAAGTGAAACCTGGCATCTGCTTACACATGTTCAATCAGTTCTCTGAAGTTGACGTCTGAAGGTTCTTCTAACAAGATGGCCTTTGTTTTACAGGTCCCTTGCAGCCAGCATGATACCGTATTTATAGCACATGAAGGAGAACTTGCTCGCCACATTCAGGTAAGAGGACAGTTGTGTGCAGGATGAATGATAAGTAGGCCTAAATGGCAGGTTGTCATAGTAAGAGACTGATTTAGCTTAATAATACCGCTGGTGTTGTTCTCTTTTGAGTCTTTTGCTGGGTTATTTCTGGGCTCAGAGGGCCTTTGGTAGGGGATCTTAGGGAATTGCCATGTGTGTGGGGAGCATACGCAGATTATCTACCACAGGCTGTGTTAGCAAGTAGTACAAAACAAAGACAGTCACTAGAAATGCCTTGCCAACTTCTACAGAGTTAATGGAGAGTTATCACTATTTTTCATGTTTATTACCTCATCAGAAACTCTTTATCTTTTCAACATTTATATAAATATGTGAATACTGAAGACTTCTAATTATCTCTGGTCCCTTATCTATAACTGTCCTTTTAAATAAATGCATGTCTCAAACTTTGATTTGCCCAAATAGACCACGAAGATTAATTTTTCATTAACTTTTATTGCTTCTGTTTCTTTCTGATCATCTTTTCTTAGAAGATTACACATCCTCATTGGGTCAGTTGTACTCTTTATAATAGAAGCTGTCTTTTTCTCTGGTGGCCTTTATAACACTGATATAGTTAGTATGATCTAAGTCTTGTGACTGAATCTGTTCCCATTAGCTGAGCCAAAACCTCTGCAGGTGGACCTCCATTAGTGTTCTGATGCCTGTGGCAATTTTGTTACTGGGCTTCTTTCTTAGTTACCTAATTTATAATAGATTTCTCAGACTGCTTTAAGAAAGGACTACAAACTGGCTGGCTTAATTGATAAAAGTTTATTCTCTCACAATTCTGGAAGTTAGAAGTTCCAAATCAAAGTGACAGCAGCACTGAGGAAGAACCTTCTTATTTGTGAGGAAGAACCCATTACAGGCCGACCTTCTAGATGCCTCCATTTCCTTGGCTAGCAGATGGTATCTTCTCTTGGTGTCTTTACATTGTCTCCTGTTCTATGTTGCTTATGTCTATGTCCAGATTTTCCCTTTTTGTCAGAGTACCACTCAAGTTGAGTTAGGGCCCCTGCTAATGACTTAATCTTTAGCTTAGTCATTTGCGAGAACCATATTTCCAAATAAAGTCACAGTTATATGTATGGAAGATTAGGACTTTAGTATCTTCTAGGAGTACATAGTTCAACTATAATGTTATCTCAGGGAAAGGCACCCATTTCTTTTGGTATTCCTTAAAATTCTAGCATGGTGCTTGCTACTTAATAGTTGTTTAACGAGTCAGTGATAAAGACCACAATGATCATGTTCAAATTTAATTTGAAAAAGCAAAGTGCTATGACCACTGGTGGGCAGGTATTATGCCAGCTGTTATTCTCAGCAAATTCTTACTTTTGGAGTAGTCCAAATTAAACAGTACCATAAATGTGTTAAGACTTTTCCTTTAAAAGTAATAGCAAGTGGAAGATTTTGCTGAAATGAAAGCTGTAGCTTTGAGTGATCCTACCTTTGCTAGCATAGCAGGCAGAACTGCCATTTTATGTGCCTTTGCTATCAGTACACCCAGATACTTCCAAGCTATTTCAATACCATTTAAATCGTACTTAGGGGAGGTAGTATTCTTTTCCAGAAGTAACATTTTTCACTTATTAAATTTAATATCTGTTCCCTAGCTTTAGCTATCCTGAAACAGATCTGCCCTTGTGGCATCCTCTCCTTCCTCTATGTATCCTTTGCTCAGAATTATTAGAAGTTATCCTTTGAGGGCTGAGATTTGGCTGTCGATAAAATGTTAAGACACTGGTAGCACTTAAATGATCTGTTTTTTTAAGAGATCTTTATTTGAGAAACTCTTTTATCCTGTTGGATCAATGATTTCTGTCCAGTCTATAGTTACTTCCAGGAAAGAATTACCTGTTTAATATGAAGAGAACCTTTTGCTAAGAGGAACCAAGGCCAGTATCAGACTTGCCCCTGGAGTGAGATGGGCACCTTAGTAGCTCCATGATTTTTTTACACTCCCTGGGTTAGTATCCTGCCAAACTACCCTACTTTGGGAGGCCAGGGACTGAATATTAAGTGTGGGCCTCAGGCCCAGGCCTCCTGGAAGTCTGTGTTGGAGGCTGCTTGGCATCACTTCTTTTCAGGCTGCCCAGCCTCACAGGGATTCCTGTTTTGGGTATAGGACTGTAGGCTGCCCCACACCCTAGTGATGTGGCAGGCTCTGACAACACTGGATTTATAGGATGATGACAGGCAGGAGAATGTAAAAATAAAAATTCATTTTAGGATTTTTCACACTGACATTAGTCCTAAGAAAATTGGTAAATCAAGAGGCAGATATTTATAGTGTGTGTGATGTATGCAGGCACAGTTCCACCAAGTGCCATGTATGGATGTATAACTTCATCCAGGTGTTGCCACAACTTATTTTTCTATTCCATTTTATTCAAGAGCTCAATTTAGAGGTCTTCTGCAGCCTCCCCTGCACACTTCTCCTTCATTTGTGAGGATGTCTGTAGGGCTTCATTAAAATTAAAACAATTAGTTTGTTTTGGTCACACAATGATCAAATCAGAGTGATGGTAGGATTGCCTGCCATTGCCTGTAGGTAGAGCCCAGAAAGCAATTATGTTCTGGTAATTAAACTGTCCTGAGATAGCAAGTGAAGTATTCTACAACATATGCTACTTGATGATAATACCAGAATACATCTTATTTTAATAACTAAGTTATTTTCTGTATACCTAATACTTCCCTATTATTAAACAGAAAATAGCCCAGAAAAATATCTGAGTAATAAAAACTTTGCTTATTGTTGTTGCCTAGTCTTTTTTGTTGTTGTCCTTACTTTTTTTTTTTTTTTTTTTCCCTTTCGTATTTTTTTAGGGAAGGGTCTACAGGGTAGTAGTCATGGTCTCACTACTAGATCAGACTTGTAGTGATCTGCCTGTTTACAGCTTCCCAAGAGCTGGGATTAGAGGCACGTGCCACCACACCCAGTCTCAATTGCTGTCTCAGCACACCCCGGGGGTGGGGCTGGCATGGCAGGCCTGGGGATGGAATCCTTGGCCCCTATACCTGCTTGTAGGTGCTTTAATCTGCTGAGCTATTTGGCTGGCCCTGTCCTTATTATTTTGCATTTTTCAGTATCTCAGTCTTACAGTTGTGAGAGCTCAGAGGTAAGACTTTCATGGAGTTGGTAATAACATGTTCATTATTAGACTCTGATTTTAAAATGGGGGAAAACATTTTTATATCTGTTTAGTTGATAATTAACATGGGAGTTTTTGACGTTTTAGAGTGTGTTTATAATATGGAATGCACTTTAGTTAAACATGGTACTCTGAAGATTCTATTGAATCTTTTCAGGAAAATTTTGCATTCAATAAGTTAAAATGGGAATTTAAGTGTTTGCATTCTCTGAGTTCCTCCTCTGGTGCCCCCTGGTCCCTTCTTTGTTTCGTTTTTTTTAAAAGCTTGGCATTTTCCTTCACTGGTTGCTTCTTCTACATTGGATTATCAGTATACTCTGTCAAGTTTCTGTAATGTTTTCATATTTTTTATTTTCCTTTTTTTTTGATACTAGGAATTGAACTCAGAACCTCGCACTTGCCAAGCGGACACAGTGCCGCCAAGGTATATCCCTAGCCCTGTCCCCCTTTTCCTTTTCATCTATAACTGTCCTTTTCTTGTGCTTTTCTCTTCTATTTGTTCATTCATTCATTCATTCATTCATTCATTCATTCACATAGTAGTCTTTTGCCATGTGCCAAAAATTGATCTGGGGAAAATGTTCAGTATATTGTAATTTAGAGGGAGTTAGTCATGTGATGGAGCCATGTGCCACACCAGCTTTTCATGCCAGAAACAGGACGGCTGGCTTAGCTCGAGGGACTTAGGAAATGCTCCGCACACAGAATAGCATTCGCATGGATAGTGGAAGGCTTAGAAGGGTGAACTTCTGGAGAGCACAGGATGTGAGTGGACAGAGCAGAGTGTGTGTGTAGTCCGTGTTATTGGAGCCTTACTAGAGTGTACAGTGGAAGGGATGTGGGATGGGTGAGGCTCTGTGGGAAGGCAGAAATCTGATCTCAAGGGCCCTTTTGCACACAGCTGAATCTTCCCATCTCATGCCTACGAAGAGCATTTAGCCACCCTCAGTTCTTGTGCACTGCAAGGAGAATGACCAAGTTGAGTGCATATCACCTGTAAGCGTTAGGCATATGACATTGACTCTCATGTACTGCTTCCTCTTTTATTTATTCCTTTAAATTATTTTCTCCTGTTTACTTTTTAAAATAGTGTTCTCAGCTAAATTTGTGTTTTGAGTCTCACACACTACTTACTACATTTCTCCCTTCATGTCCATTTCCAATATCCTCTCATTTTTTGAGACTTCCCTTAGATTCATATCCTTTATGAAAACTCTGCTGAGTGACTTAGCCTCTTCTGACCTCCAGCAGAACTTCCTTTCTTTTTTTTTCTGTATTTTAGGGAAGGGTCTGCAGAGTGCTCAGGGTCTCACTACTAGATAGGAGTCATAGTGACTCTCCAGTTTACAGCCTCCCAAGTATTGGGATTATAGGCACACTACCATGCCCAGTCTCCATTGCTGTCTCAGCATGCCCCGGGGGCAGTCCTGGGGATCAAGTCCCCGGCCCCCATGCCTGCTTGCAGGCACTTTAATGTACTGAGCTATTTGGCTGGCCCTCAGAACTTTCAGTGGACTCCTAATACAATTGTTGCATACTTCTTTATGTCACACATTATTTTTATAACCAGAAGAATGCCCATATGTTGAAAGAAAGGGCTGTATAAATATCATGGCCCTGTTTGTGCGGAAAGTACACCTTCTCATGTGTAACAGACACCACATTGACTTTTGCTAAAAGAATGGAGGGAAGCAGAGTTCCTGTAATTTGCAAGGCTGTTGCAGAGGTGGAACTGAGGCATTGATTAATTGTCATACGAGACAGGCAGTGGTTAATGTAATATACAGATGAAGCTCTTGCAGGGAAGAATAATTGTCA